TTTTTGGTACAAAAAAGAAAGTCAACAACGTTAGGCTAGGACTCGTCGGGATAAGAAACCCCAATTTTATCGTGCTCAAGCTATGCGCAGACTCCTATGGACGAGGAGGAGACTCGATGCAGACCAGTCGGGTACTATCCCGTCGTATGCTTAAGTTTCTTTAACAAAGGCCAATGGTAGTCACATGTCATTTGGCCAATTTATTGTATAACTACCACCATGACTTGTGTGAAATGTTATTCAATTATGGTAACTACCACCACTGACTTTTGTTAAATTAAATGGGAGTCAAATCATTTGGCCCATTATGGTAACTATGACTATTGTTCACAGTGCTAACTTTATCCATCTCACTGAGGGAGTATATTACGGCCACACATCACAACGCGGCCAGCAAAACTTGCCTGTATCTTTTCATCACCTAAAAAATGGACGGCCCTGCGATTGAATTGGGTAAAACTGCCGGAAAGCCCATAAGGTGCCGAGGTAACTTTCAATTTTTAACTGTTCGCAGCGTATATATGTCTTCTCTCCGTTCGTTATGTGCTCAAAAAACGCGGCTTTGTTGGCCTTTTTGCAGCGGCGGTGGCTAGGAAAGCCGGCGAGCCTCTTGTGATAGAGGAAGTAATTGTGGACACCCCTAAGTCGGAGGAAGTTCGCATAAGAATTATATGTACCTCTCTCTGCTACAGCGATGTCAGTTTCTGGAAAATGAAAGTAGGCAGCACCTTTTTTTTCCAATTGGTTTTTGGATTTGTAATGTTGTATACTAATGTTATGATTGTTGTTATTACAATTACAATTACGTTTTCATGGAGTATCACTTGTGAGTTGTCCCGAGCCTAGTATATAAGCCAAATGTGCTACTCCTCCCATCACCAATTGTTTTTGGGATGAAACCACACTATGGTGCACGTAGGCTTACCCTCTTATGGTGCGCTTAATATGCGTGGGACCGCACCCTCTTGCTCCGATTCTCTAATCTTACACGTTTCCTCTTTTGAAGGATCCTCCGGGTTGTTTTCCAAGAATCTTGGGCCATGAAGCTGTCGGGTAACTGTTCACTTGTTCTGTTTTACTATATGGAAATCCAATTGTTTCATATCTTTGAGGTGTTTAGCTAAAGGTTCAAACTTTTGGAAATGAAGATGGAATTTAAGTTCCAATTATTTGGTGGTTGTGAATGCTTGTGTGTGAGCACTCATACTAGTTCATATGCCTGGTGATGTCAGTGTTTGTGCAATCGATTGTTTGATCGTCATGTCAACTAATTTTAGGAATCCCAAAACAAAGATTCGTTTCCAAGTTTTATGGGAGACTTTGCAAGCAAACACTAAATAAATGGTGGGAAAATGACTAGGAAAAAAGAAAAGTAATTCTCTGCTGTTCATGGAAAATAACTCATTAACCCCCCTGAGCCTGCGCCGACCCCATCACGTCTTGAAATTTTTTATCCTTTTTCCCTTTTCGGTTGGAGTTGGCATAGATCTCATGTGTGTAGAAGCGTAATTGTGAGGGTGTGAACAATTCACTAGGAATTTCCATTTTTTGCCAATCAATGCATGAATTCAATTGTTTTCTTTTATTTTCCTATTTTTAAAGTTAAACTTTTGTCTATTTGGTGACCGAATTTCCAGGCCATATGTTGCTTCCTTGAGGCCTGTCTATGTATTCTTGGTTTTATATGGCTTTCTCTTAATAGTGTTGTCGAGAGCATTGGGGATGGCGTAAAGGGCCTTGTCGAGGGTGATGTGGTTCTTCCAATATTTTTGCCTGATTGTGAAGAATGTACCGATTGCACCTCCAAAAAGAGCAACCTTTGTTCAAGATTCCCCTTCAAGGTCTCTCCTTGGACGCAGGACGGGTCTAGCAGATTCACTGACCTAAATGGACAGCCTTTGTACCATTTTCTATTTACATCTACTTTTACGGAGTACACAGTTGTGCATGTCGCAAATGTAACAAAAATTGATCCCACTGTGCCCCCGAACAGGGCTTGCCTTTTGAGTTGCGGAGCCTCCACAGGTACAACTACTGGACCTCTGCCTATGATGTCATTTTTCTTTTTTCTTTTTTTTTTTTTTATCAATATATCCTTTTTATAATCGTATTAGAAGATCTTATTGTATACTTATTTCTGCGTAACATGATGCACATGCCATTGGAGAATGGAGACTAAATCCTAAACTTTGTTCTTGCATACTAAAAGAGAGGATAAGGGATCTATATGCTATATGATATATAGTTTAGGTTAGGGAAGGACTACCCCTTACTCTATTCCTCTATGAATCGGAATACTTTTCGAGAGAAGAAATCCACCTACAAGTTACAATTCTACATCATTTGGAGCTGACAACGAGACCTTTTATAAGTTGATTGATAGGGCTATTCTTTTTATTGAGTCTCAACTATATTCGAGTAATATAACATGGTTAGATTTGATTATTGGAGAAAACGTAAATTAATGGACTTTATTACGTGTTAATATTTCTTCAGGTGTGGGAGCTGCATGGAGGTCTGCAAATGTCGAAGCAGGATCCACTGTAGCCATCTTTGGTCTCGGCTCAATAGGATTGGCTGTAGGAATATCTAGTTTGCTTTATCCTTTTTTATTTCTTTTTATTTCATATTGTATTTTTTTCTTATGCAACGAATGATGTATTGTTTACTTGAAGGTTGCTGAAGGAGCAAAATTATGCGGTGCTGCAAAAATCATTGGCGTTGATGTGAACCCTGACAAATTTGAAATAAGTTCGTTCATGCTAATTATACTTTAGTTTGAACAGAGTTGACCTTGTGAAGGGAGATAGGGTTTCTCGGTATCTTCTGTCTGTAGAAATGCATCCATTCTCATTAGACATTATCCTGAGAAGAACGAAATAATATACTTCTTAATTAGCTGCTATATATATCTGCAGTTGTTTCTGGTAATTCTATATGTTAATCATTTATTTTAAAAAGATGATCTCTTTAACATGTAGAATGTGCCATTTCTTTAACCTTGATAGGTAAAGCATTTGGTGTAACTGATTTCGTTGACTCGAGGAGCTGTGGTGAAAAACATTTGAGCGAGGTAGTTTTTTTTCCCTTAGACTGCTGACAATTTTTATGAATTGCCTCTGTTAAAAAAGATATTATTAGAATTAATTTTGTTCCTTGTTTTAAAAAAAAAATGATTTTGGGGATTGTGCAAATTTATTCCACATGAAACAACATAAATTAGAACTGGTTTATGCTCTGCCTTACATTTTCAGGTTATAAATGAGATGACCGGTGGAGGAGCAGATTATTGTTTCGAATGTGTGGGGAAGGCATCTTTGGTTGAGGAAGCATTTGCTTGCTGCCGCAAGGTTTATGCTTTGTTTTGATCTAAAACCCTATGCGCTATATTATCACGACTAATTGTTGTCTCAACTATTTGAGATATGGAGATAATTGGTCGTTAGAAAACGGGCAATTGATTATTTAAAACTATGGGCTCCTTGTACGTTTGACACCCCTACGTTTGCAACTAATCAATGTAGTACAGAGGGTTCTCTTACTTTGTGAAATGGTACCTAATAAGACCTCACTCACAATGTTATATCTCTTATTGACTTTGCGTGATGTTTTTCAATCAAGTAATATATGCTCTTTCCTACTTTGAGTATTGTGATTTCGATGCTTTAGGGTTGGGGAAAAACGATTGTGCTTGGGGTGGACAAACCTGGCTCACAAGTGTCGTTTAGATTTTTCGACGTCCTTCACCTTGGCAAAACAATCACGGGATCCTTATTCGGAGGCCTTAAACCGAAATCAGACATACCAATCCTCGTCAAACGATACAAGGACAAGGTAGTTCAATGATCTAATTAACGATCTTTTCGACTTTTTTGTGTTTCATATCTTGATTATTGATCTTGAGCAATGAGTTGTGCATGCGCACGTACAGGAGCTGGATCTCGACAAGTTTGTTACCCATGAGGTGGGTTTCTCAGACATCAACCGAGCTTTTGATTTACTGCTGGAAGGAAAGAGCCTTAGATGTGTGATGTGGATGGATAAATGAAGTTGTTTCATGATCTATATGACTGCATGCTTCCTTTTGTGTGAACATCGAACCTCATATTAATATTTATTGTACTCTATGAAATAAATGGGGATGATTTACTTCTTTTTCTTATTGTTTTCTCATTTATGAAATAAATATGTCAATTAACTATTATCATAATTAAATATCCCAAGAAAATATGATTCTAACAAAATCTATTTCCATTGTTTGTATAAAATATTCACCAACCAAATGGCAAATATACTATTTTTTGCCCTAATCCATCTCCTCCCGAAGTCCACCGTCTCCATCTTTTCTGGCCCGTGTGCCTTCCCCAGCGGGAATTCGGACTTCTTGTGGGAGGTCGACCCTAGGTCGCACGGCCTTCGCACCGTTCATGCACCGCTCTTTACCAGTTTGAGCCGCTGGAAGCTGATGGCCGTCCGCAATTGATTTTCCCCGAGATCTGGAGCCAACTTACGGTTGTCTCTCGTTATTCTCAAAGTCGAGGTGGTGCCAGGTGGATGTTTTTGGCGGGGGCTGAGTGTGGCTCGAGCCACTATTGGCGTTTGCGTTGGAGAGGCCGGGGCTAAGGCGAGGCACCTCTCGCCCCATGTTTTCCCCTGATTCCCTGGTGTGCGGATGAGGGGGGCTGGTGCTGCCGCACCTTCGCCAGTGGTGTTGGCCAAGTCCGGCGCGGTGGCGGTGTGCAAGGGTGAGATTAGTTGTTCCTCCGGCTGTGTGCAGGGTTGTCGACCTGGAGTGGTTCGAGGTTTGGGTCTCGGCTTCAGTTAGGCGGTTTTCGGCAGTTTCAGATACTATTCTCAGGCTGCGGTCCAGTTCGTTTGAGTGGGCGGTCTTGGTCCGTTGGTGCTTCGTGTGGGGTTTCAGATTTACTGCTATAGGAAGGGGCTATTGTTCGTTTATTTTTGTTTGTGTGTTATTTAGTTTGTGGATTGTTTGGTGGTTTAGTTGTTATTTTTGTTGTATTTTCTCCTGTTTGGTGGATTTTTTTTATTTTTTATTTTTATGTTGAGAGCGTATTATTCTGTTGGGAGTTGTATAGTTTGTTGTGTTTGCGTTAGTGTAGTTGCAGGGACGGATCCAGAAATTAATAATAGACTAGGCTAGAATTTTAAAAACTTATTTTTACATAAAAATCACTAATATTTTTTCTTTCAAATATTCACTGAAGTTGTGTTCGACGAGCTTCTAAAAAAATTATTATGCTCATTTTGCGCCGTATTTGATGTGCTTTCACTAGTTTTACGTCGATCACGTTTTCTAAAGAATGATGATATCAATGGGGTTTTTCCTTTCTATACAAATAAATAGATTTTTTATATGACATATTTATTAGCAAAATGAAACGCCTACACATCCTAAGTTTATATCCAACTATGATATAAAACAACCACACTAGAGGACATTATATTAAATACACACACACACACACACACACACACACACACACAATTACTATTTTATGCACACTCAACAAAACAAGAATGGTAATCAAATGATCCTAGCAATTACAATTAAAATTGTAAATAACTTTAACCACACTAGAGGATATGTTATTAAAATACACACCCAATTACTATTTTATACACAGTCAACAAAACAAGAATGGTAACCAAATGATCCTAGCAATTACAATTAAAAATGTAAATAACTCAATTAAAATGAGAAGATAGATAAAGACAACTAGACAAATAAAATAAATATCTAATATGGGGTTTAAAAATATAACTTACTATTAAAGAAGAAATTAGTTTGTCTTCATGAAAGTAACCTCTTTCTTGTTGAATAGCTTAATTTACTTATTTATTTGTTTCAGTGTTCAGAGAAGGAATATGACCGTGGCTAATTTATTTGATTGGAGTTTGGTGTATACTGATGTTTTGTGGTTAATCCATAGTGGAAATGGTAGATTAACAATATATAATATTTTATTACAATAGTGTTAGTAGCCTTTTCGACTTAATAGATAAGTGAATTACTTTGATGGGTTAGTAGGCTAGTTTATTTGGGTGGGCTAGAAATACAATATTTTTTTTTTTTTTTTTCAAATTAATAGGTGTTAAAAAAATAATAGGCATGGGCTTGAGCTCGTCCAAGCCTAATTAACATTCATCCATGTGTATTTGCTTCTAGACTACTTTCATGTAAGCCTCTTGGATTAAGTTGTTTGACTGCTCGACTATTACAGCTGTAATTATATGGTTTTTAGTTTTCATAAAATTTCTATCGTTAAAAAAAATGACAAATATATTAGTCAATCACATGCTTGAATTGCGGAACTTTATTCATGTTTTTGCAATTAATTTCTGATACTTTTTGTCTAATTTTTAAATATTCATGCATATATTCTTTTTTTATATAAATAATAAAGTGCACATTTGATGCACGTGATAATATATTTATTTGATCAGTTAATTTTTCAATGCGAAAAAGATGATAAGTTCTATAAATATGTCTTGCAAGAATGAAATAAAATTAAAAAAAATAAATAAATTTCTATTGATTATCACAAAATCTCACATAAATACAACGACGATGATATATAAAATTATACAAATCACTAAAAAGCCAGATCCCCTTTTCTCCTCTCCCGTCAAAACCTAATCGTTGTCGACTAACACTTGCGTCTCTCCGACGCCTTCCCCAGTAGGGCCTTCCGAAGGTCCAGTGGTGGCACACTTGGGGTTCATGGTCCATTTCCCATTGGATCGTCATGAGACAGAGCTGTTTTTGCAAGCGGAGGCGATGTTCGTCCCCGACTAGATCCCGACGCTCGGCCCCTTACGCTCATTTCCCATTAAAATACACCATTTATAATATGTACGTAATATACCCAGACGTTTGGTTGCAATTTTCACTTCTATACGACAATTTGAATATATATGTTTATGTGTCATACACTTCTTCTTGTTCCTATCTAATTTTTTTTCACTTAGTTATAAAAATTTTATAATTGAAAATTAAATTATATTACAACCTCACCATAATTAAATCACAAAATAAAAAATGTTTTAGTCCGTTCATATTTTTACAAACCTTCTACTCATTTTATAATGGTATAGAATTAGATTAGCTCATGTACTCTTTTTTGTCATATATTTCAAATATTATTAGTCGACATATTTCATAATGTAATGTATTTATTTTTTTAATTATTAAAAAAATAGTCCAAAATTTTGAATAAACAAAATAAGTATAATTTAAAATCATAAAATAATAGTAATTATGCATCACGTGCATCGGACCTACAATTAACTAGCAATATAAAATGCATAAATCGTATAATGCACGAGTATTGTTCTACAATTTAAAACAAAGACTTTTCCCTTTTTTTTTAAAAAAAAAAACTAAATATAAATTTATTGATTAGTATAATGCACGAGTGCAGTCTCACGCAGATAAAGCGCACCAAGACATGGAAAGTCCAGATGAAACCCTGGTTAGCTTATAAGCTCCCTATATTCAAATAAGCCTCGTTTGGTAGGTCGATTCAAATAAGTCTCGTTTGGTAGGTCGAGCTTTTTAAAAAAGCTAGAGCTTATTTGATAAGCTTCCTTAGGTAGCTTTTCAAATAAGCTAGTTGAATTTTTTATTCCAGCTAGCTTATCAGCTAATTTTAGCACGCACTTTTATCATATAAGCTAGATTATCAGCTATATAAGTCATAAGCTATAAGTCAAACATTTTTATCATATAAACTACCTTATCAATTACTGATAAGTTATAGGCTAGCTTATCAGCTATCAGCTAGCTTATCAGCTAGTTTTACCAAACACAGCCTTATAAGTTCGGCATATTTTTCCTATATAAACGATGTGGGACAGAACATTGACTCAATCGGTTTATGCTCTAAAGAAAAACAAGAAAATGAATATTTTACTTTGTACTACTTCCTTTTATTTTAATGTCATTTTGGCATTATCAACTATTAACAAAATAAATGTTACATATTTTTCCATTATTACCTTTATCTAGCTAATAAATACACTACATCTTTTCATATTCACTCTTCATCTTTTCTCAAAACATTCATCTCTATCCTCATTAATGAGGGTTATTATTGGCAAAAAAAATATTCTTAACAACTGTGCAACTTCTCAAAACGATACTTATTTTGAATAGGAGAGAGTATCAAATATTCTAAAATTTTATGTATAGTTATTAGTTTTCCACTACAAAAAAAACTCTTACATTCCAACGGAAATTTCCGTTGCTATTTTTTATATTTCCGTTGGAATAGCTATTCCAACGGATATTCCTACGTATAAAAATCTATTAGAAAAACGGTCGTTGAAATAGCAAATATCCAACGGAAAATCTTATGGAAATAAATTCTCTATAGCTATTCCAACAGA